AAAAAAAAAAAAAAAAAAAAAACAGAGATAAAGTAAAGAAGCCTGAAATCCAAAGGAACGGGCCCACCCAAGACCGAGACCTGCTGAGTGAGAGGCTCTACCCGCTGCCTCACCCTCCCCTGGTTGCTATGGGCAGGATCCTGAGCCAGGGATGTGGTGAAGGTCATCCAACTTACTGCTACCTCCCGAGACAGCGAGGACTGGAGTGCTGGGTGGCCTGGGCCACAGGTTTGCACTGAGACTCGAGCCCCAGCTTCTCCTCCTGGCTCTGCTCCTGGGTGTTGAGCTGAGCTTCCCGGGCCTTGGCTTTCACCCTTCCAGTGAAAGTAGCCGGGCAGGCGAACCGCAGACTCCTCCCTGTTCACAGTCAGCCCTGGGCCGTGTGCTGTGGGCAGCTCTCCCGATGGAACCGGGGATAGTTCTGTTGCTTCTCCAGTGGAGAAGGTATAATTGGTACGCATGCGTTAAGTGTCTCGCGGCGTCCGGCCGACTTGCAGGGAGAAGCAGGTGGAGGGGGCTTCAGCCGTGGGCCCTGCCTCTCGTTTCAGGTGCCATCAGATGGATGACTTTGGGCCTGCCAAGAACCTCATGACCATGTGCTTCACCTACTACCACATCGGTAAGACACGGTGGGCTGACGCGGGGTCACCCTGAGGCTCATCAGCTGCCATTGTGCTGTCAGAGGAAGCTTTCTTCACGATTAAGAGCAAAGGCTACAGGGCCTCCAGAGAACAGAGGAAGCTGATGTTAGGGAGGAGTGAGACTCCTAAAAGAGGAGGAGAAAGCACGTCCGAATCGTGGGAGGTGGGAGGCTGACAGCCCGGGGTACGCAGGAAACTCCTGAGCTGTGAGGAGATGAGGAAAGAAACGTGGGGCAGGACATCATGTGGCGGAGACAGGGACTGCTGGATGCGAAGAGCCCAGTTTTACGTTTCAGCAAAACAGGGCACACTTGTTTGTTGGAGGGCGGTGGGGAGGAGCCGTCTAGGTTCTGAAGCTCAGAGAGTTCCTGGGATGGGCTGGAGATGGCTCATGAGGAGTACGGACTGTTGTTGATGCTGAGGCTGTGGCATCTCTTCCGTCTCATTGCGTTGGAACTTTCTGGTGCATTGGAGCTCAGGGGCTTCCTGCGTGACTCTCTCTGGGCTGCAGCAACAGGACTTATTCAGGCCACCCTAAGTGGAAGGTCGTTGAAAGCCTCCACCTGACTGAAGCTGGGCAGGGAGGCGCTGGGTCCCAGCCCCCCTTGCTATCCTCTCTTGGGACCCGCGTGCTCACTCTTGGGGTGTATGTGACCTCTCCCCTCACACAGCCGTCCTCTCTGCACCCCTCAGTTCGGTTGGTTTGACTGTATGGCCGTGTCCCAGCAGGCAGGCCCTTCCTGCCAGGCCCCTTGTCGGCTGCTTCGGGTGGGGCTGGAGCCCCCGGTGCAACCTGTGGCTCTTCCTTTTCAAAGAACAGATAGACACATAACGAGTAGATGCTGCTTCCTGAGACAGGGCTACGCACAGCGGCTTGAGCTTGTGAGGACGCCCTGCTGGGGTCTGCAGAGGGCCTTTGACCTGTAGTGGGCCCTGGGAGCTGTGGGGATGTCTCATCCTGTGGGGCTGTCAGGGCCTCATGTCCATCCTCTGGCTAAGGGAGTTTGGGTGCTGCCCAGGCTCCTCCTCCAGGGCCCCTCCTGCTGTCTCCATACTCCCACTCCAGAGGCTGGTGCCCAGCTGGCTCCTGCCTCTCTGGCTCTGGCGTGGTCGGGCCTCTTCCCTTGCCTTCCTGTGGACCCTGCCACCTGGGCCTGGCTTCTGCCTGCATCTTGCCCCCTCCCTGCTCCCGGTGGCTTCTCTGTGTGCAGCAGATACTGGGGGCGCTCATGGGGAGCAGGGCCCCCACTTCCTCATCCTGGGCCGGCTAAGCTTGCCCCACCCCTGTCCTGGGCTGAGGACGGAGGCTCTTGTGTCCCTACTACCCAGGACCCATGCAGGCCTCCGTCTGGGCCTCTACAGTTAGCAGGCACAGACCCTGGCCTCACTGGTCACGTACTGTTCCCTCTCTCGTCCAAGGAAAACCACAGCTGCAGCCCCCAGAGTCCCGGGAGAAGCCCATGGGCAGCATCGACTCCTACCTGAAGTCCGCAAACAGCTGGCTGGCCGAGAAGAAGGACATCGCCGAGCGCCTGCTGAAGAACACCTCCGCCAGGACCGAGAACGTCAAGGGCTTCTTCGGGGGACTGGAGACCAAGCTGAAGGGGCCCCTGGTCAGGAAGAATGAGTACGTGTGGCCTTGGGGTCCCTCTCACCTGCCTGGGACTCGGGGAGAGGGTGGCGCGACGCTCAGGCAGGGGCGGCAGGGAGGGTGCGGGAGAGGTCCAGAGACTGCCAGGAGCACAGCGCTGCCCAGCAGCCACCGCCCCCACCGCGTTCTGTGCTCTGTAAAGCCAAGCCTCCCACCCACATGCAGGGATGTTCCTGGGGGCCACACTCCCTGAAACTGATGAGGAACCGAAGGGATTGTCAGATGGCAGAGGGAACTGTAGCCCCTCCCCTCTGTCCCCTCTGTCCTGTCTGTTGCCTCCATCCCCTGGCTGGACCAAGAGTGTGTGCTTGTGGAACACGGTCTTGAGTCGCAGGAGAAAAACACTGTCCCCAGGAGAACAGGGCTCTGGCAGGCACTCCAGTCACCCCTTTGGGGACGGGCACATCAGAATTAGGCACATAGAAGCTACAACTTCCACAGGGAGGAGGGCTGCGGCAGCCAGAGGGAGCCCCCGGGGTCCCCTGTTAAAACCCACGGCCAGGCCGCAGCCAGGTGCCTTGGCCTTGGCCTCCTCCTCTGCCCCATTCAGCTTTGGATTCAAAGAAAATGACATAAGGAAACCTCAATGCCACATTTCCTCAATGTTGAAACGCTGGCAGTTGACCAGTAGAGCCTGGATTTCATAAAAAGCTTTTGAGAGCAATTCATGTTAAATGCACCCAGTCCCGCCTGAGGGGTCCAGAAGAGCGTCTTTGATTTGAGAAAGTGTGGTGGGAGTTGCTTTGTCATCGTGGTGCCTTCTCTCCCTCAGGGAAGACGAGAACAAACCCCAGGAGAAGCCACCCAGGGCTGGTGAGTCTGCCCAGGCAGCAGGAGATGCCTGGCCCACACCCCTTGGCCAGCATACAAGCAGGCGCACGGCCTCCGGGCGCTCTCTCAGAAGAAGTCCTCATTGCTGGGTGGAAATAGCATCATTACGGGCTGTGGCCGGCAGAAAAGCCGTGTTAGAATTTCCACCCATGTCTCTGTGTCCTCCGTAGAAACTGGCTGCTGGGAGCTGTCGCCTGGGGACTGCCGACAGCAGGTGCGCAGCCAGAGCCACTTTCAGCCTGTCTCCTCCCGCAGGGACCGTGTACAGCCCCGAGGACGAAAAGAAGGGGGAGAAGATCTACTTGTACACGCACCTGAAGCAGCAGCCCATCTGGTAAGGCCGAGCCTGCCGCTTCCCGCCACCCTTATTGCCGGGGCCAGCAGTCACTCCCCGGGATCACTTCTACCCGCCTTCGTCCCCACCAGAATGGCAGAATTCTCACACCCCCAGAGTGGCAGGATAAAAAGATGAACACTCAGGGGTGTTGGTAAGGATGTGGAGGAACTGGAGGTCTCCTGTACGGCTGGTGGGAATGTAAATGGAGTGGCCACTGTGGAAGACGGCCTGGCACTTCCTTTAAAGGTGAAACACAGAGTTCCTCTGTGACCCGGCAGCTCAACCCCTAGGAGTTGCCCAGGAGAAACAAAAATGTGTGTCCTCACAAAAACCGTGTCCACAGATGTCTGCAGCAGTGTTGTTTATTATGACCCCAAAGTAGAAACAGTCTTCATGGCTGTCCGCTGATGAATGGGTAAACACAATGTGGCCCATGCATTGCATGGAATATTACCCAGCCCTGAAAAGGAATGGTGTGCTGCTCCACGCTGCAGCGTGGATAGACCTGGGAAGCGTCGTGAAGCTCAGTGGAAGAAGCCAGACACGGAAGCCCACGCATTGCACCATTCCTGTGAAGTGTCCACAGCAGCCGCATTCCTAGAGACGGAGCAGATGACTGACTGCTGGGGCAGAGGGCAGGAAGTGGGGGCCGGAAGTGGCTGCTCATGGGGATGGGCTTTCTTTATGGGATAAGAGAATGTTACAGAAATGGTGCCGGCCGCACGACTCTGTGAATACACTAAAAATCACTCAATTGTATAATTTAGAGGGTGAATTTTTTTTTTTTTTTTTTTTTTTTTTTTTTTTTTTAAATTTTTTTTTTTTTTTTTTTTTTTTTTTTTTTTTTTTTTTTCTGGAGACAGAGTCTCCCCCTCTCACCAGGCTGGAGTACAGTGGAGTGATCTCGGCTCACTGCAGTCTCCGCCTCCCAGGTTCAAGCGATTCTCCTGCCTCAGCCTCCCGAGTAGCTAGGACTATAGGCGTGCGCCATCACGCCCGGCTAATTTTTTGTATTTTTTAGTAGAGACGAGATTTCACCATGTTGACCAGACTGGTCTCAGTCTCAACCTCGTGATCCACCTGCCTCGGCTTCCCAAAGTGCTGGGATTACAGGCATGAGCCCCCACGCCCAGCCTAGAGGGTGAATTTCATGGCATATGAATTATATCCTAATTAAGCTATTACATACATAAAAACGAATGAAGGGTTGCTGAAGTGTGAGACCAGTGTTGCAGGGGAAATCTTGCCCACCCTGGCATATGGCCCAGCCCTGCAGATGATCGTCACTGCTTTAGTCTCTCTGAAGCCTCTCCTCACTGTATTTTAGGAAGCTTTGCTGGCACCTAGAATCAGTGTCAGACACCCCCTCGCTGCCCTGAGGATCACAGTCGGCTGTGCTGCATTTTGCTTGTAACCTAGCAAGGGCTACGTGAGGACCTTGGGCAGGGAGTGCTGCAGGAACCCAGACGGCAGAGGGCAGGGCTGGAGCTGTCAGGAAGGCTGTGGAGGAGGCTGGACCTGCTTCCTGTGGAAGCAGAGAGGGGAGAAGCTGGCCGGCTGTGGCCCGCCACCTGGAGTTTAAGCTCAGCTCCTCTGTCCTTGACTTCGTTGCTGTCTTTTCATTGTCACTTGGCAAACTTTCTTGTGAAAGGCCAGATAATAATGATGTTAGAATTCGTGAGCCGGATGGTCTCTGCTGCAGCTATGCCACTGTGCTGTTGCAGCTTGAACACCACCAGATGTTGCATAAATGAATGAGCGTAGCTTGTTCCAACAAAACTTTATTTACAGGAACAGGCCGCCGGCCCACTTCAGCTTACACGCCATAGTTTGCCAACCCCTGATGTGCTTTAAGAATTTTTCTGCTGGGTGCTGTGGCTCCTGCCTGTAATCCCAGCACTTTGGAAGGCCAAGGCAGGCAGATCACTTGAGATCAGGAGTTCAAGACCAGCCTGGCCAACATGGCAAAACTCCGTCTCTACTAAAATACAAAATTAGCCAGGCGTGGTGGCAGGTGCCTGTAATCCTAGCTACTCAGGAGGCTGAGGCAGAAGAATCGGTTGAACAGACGAAACGGTGATTGCAGTGAGCCAAGATTTGCGCCACTGCACTCCAGCCTGGACAACAAGAGCAAAACTCGGACTCAAAAAAAAAAAAAAGAATGTTTTTCCTCGTGTGCTCAAGTGTCCCTCTGAACATTAGTTTGCTTGGCACATGGCGTGTCCCTGCCGGGTTCCCATTTATGTTACTAGGCCCCACTGTAGAAAAGCACATCTTCCCAGCCGTCTGCTTCCTCTTGGGAGTCCCAACAGGAAAGGCAGAAGAAAACGTCCCACTTCTGTGTCCCACAGATGGTGGCTCTGGCTCTGGCCGCTGGCTCCCTCCTGCAGCCCGGGTTACAATGGCTTTCCCTCCCATTGTGCCATCTCTCCCGAGAGAGCTGCACAGCCACAGCCAGGAGCCCCAGGGAAACGGCTTTATTTAGACCAGGTCACATGCTCGGTGTTTCCTTCTCAGCCCTACCTCTGAGACTTCAGAAGCTCAGACAGGTTGAGACACAGCCCTTGCTTATCCCTCAGGGCCCACAGCCCGGGTCCTTCCACCCCCCCTTGGAGAGGGCTGACTCGGGGCTCTGTCTTGCAGGCACACGCTGAGGTTCTGGAACGCAGCCTTTTTTGACGCTGTCCATTGTGAGAGGACAAAGCGATCTCCCACCACCAGGTAGGAGCAAAGTGTGGCCCCATTTGGCCTCAGGAAAAAGGACCAGGGAGTGGCTTTATTTCCCGGTTTCGGAAGAGAAGAGCAGAAGAGCAGCTGAGTGGACCTGTCTGTTTTTCCTTCACCCCTGTGGCTCTGGTGCCCTGCAAGCCGCCTGAAGGCTCACAGCTTCATGGGGGGTGCTCAGCTTGCATGAGCGCTTTCTGTCCTGGGGCTCTGGCATGACTTGGCCTGACCCTCCTAAAAATGCAACCTCCCACTGAGTTAGACCTTTCCTGCTGTTTGCTGTACAAAATCAGCATCCTGGAGACCAACCCTTAGAGCAGAGTCCTGGGAGGAAGGGCTGGCCAGCCCCCGAGACTGTGCCCTTGAGAGCTAGCACCTGGGGAATGCTCACCTCGTGGTCTGCAGCCTGACAAGACCTTCCCGGCTTCGTTGAGGCCACCTCACACTTGGCGGTGGCGGGGGAGGGCTGGCACCCACTCCCTGGGGGCGATGCTGCGTTCTGTCTCTGGCCATAGCAAGGAAAGGTGCCATCCGCCGCGTGCAGTGATGTGACAGCGAGGGATGGCAGCCCCTGCGGGAGCCCCTTCCCGTCATGGGACTAAAGTCTCTGAACCTCTCAGGGCCCTGGTGTCCTTGTTAATAAAGCACATCCCTCCCTCTGTAACCCCAGGGAGACCCCCTACTCTCAACCCTTGTTGGGAGGGTGGGCAGATGGCTGCTGTTTGGGTGAAGTTTCTAGTCTACCAGCACTTGGAGTGTCTCACGAGAAATTCCTCCCTCTGGGGGCAGCTTAAACCTCACTGGGGGCGGGGGCCCCAGAGCATTCTGCCATGGCCGCATTTCCTGGGGAGGCAGAGGGGCTCGTGGAGAGGGAAAGACACTGAGACTGCCTGAGGACCCTCGAGAGAGACCACGCTCTGCCAGGACACCAGAACGAGGGGAATGCTTAGATGCCTCTAGGCGGGTGGGCATTGCCTCTTTAGTTCTCAGACTTCCAGGAAGTGAATTTATTTCGAATATCCTGTCTCTCTCTGTCCCGCTCCGTCTCTGCCTGTAATAACCCTCCTTCTCTGCTTGTTCTCTTTTGACCATCCACATATCTTGCATGACTTTGACATGTTCCTTTGTTTACCTGTTTCTGCTGCCGCTCCAGAGGGGATGCTGGAGAGGAGGAGGAGAAGAGGTGTGTGTGTCCACGTGACTTTGTTCCATTTTACAGTGCGGGCTCCTGCGAAGGCCACTGCAGCGTGGGGGCCGTGCACCGTGCTGAGCTGCTGCAGCGGGCACAGTCCAGACGCAGGTGCAGCCTGGCGGCCAGCGGGGAGGGCGGCCCTGGGGAGGTGAGGCCGGCGCTAGGGCAGGCTGGCGACACATCCCACAACTGGGCAGGTGGGAGCCTCCTGAGGCCACAGCACTCCAAAATAGTCAGAAAACAAATGTGACACCTGGAGACACCCTGGCGACAGCGTGAGCTCAGAGGGGCGGAGGCGGTGACGTTGGGGAAAGCCGGCTCCGGTTATGAGCCAGCTGTGGTCTCCACCAGCCACCCTGGCCCCTTCTGAGCAGACCTGGCAGCCTTGCCCTCGGCCTCACTGTGCAGGCTGGAGAAGTGGGTCCCGGTTCACCTGGGAAGCTGCGGGTGGGGTGCAGAGCCTGTTTTTGACACCACCCTCTGTCGGGTGTGTTGGGACCGCTAGGTTGAGGGAGGCACGGAAGAAAGACAGCGCTCCCAGTTTTCCAGCCACTTGGGGATGTGGGTGCGAGGGCGTCCCCGAGGAAATCCTAGAACGGGCTGTCTCCTGCCAGCCCACAGAGCGGTCTGACTCTCCCTGTTCACCTTTCAGTCGGCTAGAATCCTTTGTGATGTGTTTTTAGAGCTGCCGATCTGCCTCTTCAAACCAAGTCCCAGATACGATGTCTCTTTCAGTGGAGGATTCGTGAAGCTGCCTCCTCTAGTCAGTGACACGTCTGTAGTGTTTACTGTCGAGTTTCTTGTGCAGACTTAGTATAGCTTTCAAGGGAGCGCTTAAGCCTAACAAACACCTCCTTTCATGAACAAAGCCTCTGGGTTTTCACAGACTCTCTGGGTGACTGTGGTTCCCGAGCCAGTCAGCCCCAAAGCCCTGGCCCAAGGAGGGCTGGGAGCATCCCAGCATCCTCTGAGAGCTGGCCAGTGCTGTGGGGGAGGTGTGGCCTGTCCTGAGCACAGCTGAGGGGACCGTGGCCTCCTGGGCCTTCTCACCAGGGCAGATCAGCTTTGACCACACATAGCTTTGCACCAGCTCCTCGTCTCTGAGGGCCCCTGGGCCTTCCTCAGAAGAAGGCAGAGTATTGCTTTGAGATTGAAGCAGGTGGCAGGGTGCAGGGGGCGAGGTTGCCTCCAGGTTCCCAGCAACCTCAGGCCTCCAACGTGACATCTCTTTTTCGGTAACCTCTGCTGACAGCAAGGTGCCGTTATCATCTTCTGTCCACAGAGGCAGACATTTCTCCATTTCAGAAACTTTCCCCTTCAGCAGGCAGTCAGTCCTGTCCAGATTCCCACCATGGCAGCGTAGACATATGTTGAGCTCGCTGTGCAGTGTCAAGAGCTTGACCAGTACTGGAAATCGAACTTGAGATGGAGTCTCAGTCTGTTGCCCAGGCTGGAGTGCAGTGGTGCCATCACAGCTGACCACAGCCTCCACCTCCCAGGTTCAAGTAATTCTCCTGCCGCAGCCTCCTGAGTCCTGGGATTACAGGCACCTGCCACCACCACTGGCTAATTTTTTTTTTCCTTTGACATAGAGTTTTGCTCTTGTTGCCCAGGCTGGAGTGCAATGGCGCGATCTCGGCTCGCCGAAACCTCTGCCTCCTGGGTTCAAGCGATTCTCCTGCCTCAGCCTCCCGAGTACCTGGGACTACAGGCATGTGCCACCACACCCGGCTAATTTTGTATTTTTAGTAGAGACGGGGTTTCACTATGTTGGTCAGGCTGGTCTCGAACTGCCGACCTCAGGTGATCCATCTGCCTCGGCCTCCCAAAGTACTGGGATTGCAGGTGTGAGCCACTGCACCTGGCCTAATTCTTGTATTTTTAGTAGAGACAGGGTTTTGCCATGTTGGCCAGGCTGCTCTTGAATTCCTGACCTCAGGTGATCTGCCCACCTTGACCTCCCAAAGTGCTGGGATGACAGGCATTAGTCACTTTCTTCAGACATCAGGTTAAATGTCCCAGTTTTTGTCCTCACCATGGCAAGAATCATCTCCTCACCTGGCTCAGGAAGAGGAGGGGTCAGGGCTGCTGTGCTCCACAACTCCAAGGGCGCCGTTCCCGTCTGGTCTGGGGTTGCGCAGGGCCCGACCTGCCCAAATGCACAGCAGGCCTGAGAGTGGTGAGGGGTTTATGTGTCTGCACAGTCCTCAGGGTGGCTCTTCGGGGGAAATACGGTAGGAAGGAAATGGGATAGACTCCGCGGAGTACCTGAAAGTATATTCTGCTGTCTTCAAGGGCATCCTGCCATCGGCATCAGGAGGCCGGGAGTGGCCTTTCCCAGTCACCCCCATCATGCCCTGATGTCCGGTGACCCCTGCTAAGCTGCAGCAGCGCCCGTGACCTCTCGTGGGCCGGACGGGGGGAGAGGAGCCAGGAGTCCATGTTCCTTTGTTTTGTTTCTCTTCCTCTGGCTTCTCCATGACCCCAGCCTCTCACCCGTCATACATCCTTCTTCCCTTTCTTTGATCTTCCTCTCAGCCTCATTTTAGTCACTCATCCATCCAGTTTTCTTCTTAGGGGGAAATGGGCTCAAATTAATGTCTCCACGTTTGCAGCTGCTCCTGCAGGTAGCTTCTCAGATGGACGTGGTGTCCTGGGAGCTGTGTAAGGGTCAGGGAGGCCTCAGGCCCTGGAGGGAGGGTCCCCCCTGGCCAAGGGGCAGGGAAGGAGCTGGCAACACAGAAAGGCTCTGTGGCAGTGAGGGGTGAGGAAGAGGTGGGGAGCCCCCTTGTTCTGCCCGGACAGGTGAAGGATTAGTAGCGCTCCCCTCTGAGCCTGTGGCTGGTGAACGCTCAGAACACCCTCCCACCCCAGGCCCTGTGCGGAGAACGCGTCAGGGTCCCCTGCTGGCTCCTGCAGCTCATGGAGACCTCTGCCGATGCCGTGTCGTTGGGTTTTCAGCACTCTGTTCTCACGTCTGGATGCTCCCTTTGCCATGGTCCTCAGCATTCTCAGGGCCACAGTCAGGCCGGCAGGAAGAGTGGGGGTCTGCTCTGTCATTTAGGGAGTGGACTAGAGAGGGAGTTGAGGGCCTCGAGAAAGCCATCATGGAGAAACTGCAGCAGAGCAGGGCACAGCACTCTGCAGACAGGGGACAGTGTGGCCCTCCGCACTCTCAGCCTCTGTCAAAGCTGCCAACCAGAGCTGGCCCCAGGAGACACAGGCCTGAGTCTGAGAACATACCCTGGGCCACCAAGGCCTGCAGGTCCCCTCCCTTTCTGGAGGCTTCTCCCCCTGGGATGGGCCCAGACCCCACTCTCCAATCATCATGAAGCCCTGGGGCCCGCCTCACTGCCTGCAGAATGCCTGGGTAGACATGTGGTGCGCCTTCAGGGCCGTAAAGAACACTTTAGTTTCCACACCTCTTTATCTTGTGAAGAGTAAGGTGAATGTTGGAGTCCCCAAGCGCGGTGTCAGGATCCTGGCAGGCCTTGTGGAAAGGCCCAGCACATGGCTGTCCAGTGGAGGACACCCCCCTTTTACCCCTGGGGGGCCATGCATGGTGCTGCCAGCACCCTCGGGTCAGAGCAGGGTGAGGAGCCGGGGCAAGGACAGCACCATCTGAGCCCTGTTCCTGTCACCTCCTGTGCTTGCAGGGAGAAGTGGTGCCACATGACCCAGGAGGAGCGTGACGACAGCCTCCGGTTCAACGAGAACATCACCTTTGGGCAGCTGGGGTAAGGGCTGGAAGTGGGAAAGGGGAAGGGGAGCCAGGGGGAGGGCCCGCCCTGTGAGCTGTCCCTCCCGATGTCACACCCTGGGGTGCGCTGGGAGCCTGCTGTGAGGTGTTCGGTGCATCACACTTGGCCTCCAAGCCAGCTCATAATTAATCCGCCTCCTACACGCCCCCTGGTGGCGGCAGTGCTGCACTGAGTCGCTGGTGCCTAATTAGGCAGCAGTGCTTTTCAATTTTTGCCGACAATTCCAGGCAGGGTGTGGTGAGGGTCCCAGAGACAAGGGCACAGCTCCCCGGCCCTTTTCCTGGGAGGCCAGTGGGTGATGCTCTGGGGGTTTCTCCTGCAGCACATTCACGCACAACATGCTGGCCTTCGGCCTGAACAAGAAGCTGTGCAATGACTTCCTGAAGAAGCAGGCTGTGATTGGCAACCTGGACGAAGGTGCGTCTGCGTAGGCCGCTGGCGGGAGGCGGGCAGGGCCGGGGTGCGGAGGCAGGGCCGGGGTGCGGAGGCTGGGCCGGGGT